TGCGCTCAGGTTGGGAAATGGCCGGGACCTCAGCATGTTCTTACATGTATGCCATGACATGTTCAGCATGAACATGTATATAGGACATGTTCATGAAGTTTCATGGTCAGTTTTCATTCTCATGACATGTTCATAATCATGTCAAAACATGCCATGACAACATGCAATTCACATGTATGAAAGCATGAAATCATGCCATGAAAACATGCCATGAAAACATGTTTTTTTCATGCCATGAAAACATGTTTTTCATACCATGAAAACATGTCTTGAAAACGAATGAACAATCTGACTTTAGTGTTTCTTGCTTTTCCTTGCTGGCTAAGGTGAGGTACAAGCCGTGGCAAAGCTCTTCTTCCTCCCTGTCATGTGCGCTCATGTTTGGATTGGATGATGTGTCTGCGCAACTGTGCTCGCAATTGGTCACCAGCAGCGCAGCTGTGTAGGGTCTAGGGCAGCTGTGAATAGCCATGCCAAAATCTCTCAAGATCAAAGAGAGATATCCCGATGTGGAGCAGAAATATGTGGATGCATTCGCGCAAGAGCCCAAGTTGCTTCAGGCCTGGAATTATAATTTTGGTTTTGCCCCTTTAGTTTTCCAGTGTGCAAACTGGGTTGCAGGTTGGCCTGAGCTTTGTACAAGCTCACAGTGCACAACTCTTTGGGAAACAAGAGTGCACAGTCAAGGATGTCGAGCTGAACCCAGAGGCTTGTGATTTGTTCACACGTTGTTCTATGTATTTTATTGACTCAATGTTTTTCAATGTGCAGGTGGTGTTCTGCATCATGAAGGTCTCACCTGCGATGAGGCTGAGTGAAGAAGTGCTGGCTCGAAGCTTGGTGAGGTTTTACCAAGAGATGAAACTAGTTCCACCAGGAGTTTCTGTGGAAGCCCTGGAGCCTTGGGCTGCAAAGATGTGCTATGCAGCCCATAAACTTGTGAGGAGGTTTCGCAAGCTTTACGCTGAAAGCCCTCATGCGTCCAAGTCACCCAAGCTACAGGAGCTGAAGAACAAATGCTTGAAAGCAGAGATCCCACATGATCAAAAAGGATCAGACTCTTCGAATGCCAGCAGTTCATGCAATGGGTCTCGAGACATTGAGGAGTTGGCTGTTGACAAGCCAGCTCCAGGCTGGGCAGATCTGGTTGAGAAAATGAAAGCCTGGAAACTGGCCAAAAGTGAAAAGGCTGGGGCTCCAAAGGCACCGGCTGTGGAAGCGGCAAATGGTGTTGATGCTGGTGGCTCACAAATGAAGCAGCCAGTGCCAACACCTGCCAGGGCAATGGCAAAGGCTTCAGATGCGCTTGCCAAATACACTGTTCCAAGCTTTGTTTTGGAAAGTTTGGCAGCGAAGGCGCCTCTTCCACCTGAGCCTTTTGCTGTGACTGGGGGTGAGCAAGAAGGTGAAGGTGAAGAAAAAACAAAGAAAAAACAAGTCAAGGCACCTGCCAAGACTGCCAAGACAAAAGCATCTTGCGTGGCCAAGATGAAACTCGCAAAAATTGCCTGTCGCAAAACAAAAAAGAAGTGTGCTGAGATTGCTGGGCCTGAGGTGGAGCAGGCCCTTGCTTTGCTACCTGCTGAGGAGGCTCAGGAGCCCCACGCTCAGATCGTGGAAGCGCAGGAAACTGTGTCTGAAGAGAAGAATGCGGAGCTTGTGATGGGGCCTCAATACAAACCTAAAGCCTTTGGGGAGGCACGAAAGTGCTACATAGATGCTTGTCGGAAAGAAGGCCTGAGCTGAGCTACAAGGCTGCGAATGAGCAGTGGATGTTCTCTGCAGAGAGATCGGATCTGCTGCAGGGGTTGTCGGTGCAGGAGCTCAAGCGGCGCCGCTTTATGTGACCTTTTAAAGGTCTTTGCTTTTTGTGGCAATAGGCCACAAAACCAAATTTACAAAGCTTGGGGTGGAACCTAGCTGATCTAGCTGGGCTGTGCAAAAACTGGAGCGCATGGAGTCTGCTGGTTGCATGTGTCACTGCCAAGTTTTTGTGAACCATGGAGACATGCTCATGATAACTGCAAGGCTCAAGCAACATTTGATCATTTCACCATGGGGGTGGCTGAGCTTTTGCGGTGTAAAGTGCCACAGCTAGTGGTTCTTCTTCACCTTTGCCTGGTGTTTAATGAAGCCTGTGATGACGAGCAGGCTTGGCTTGTTGGTTCAAGTCCTGCCTTCTATAACCTGACTGTTTGCTGGAGGTCAACCACTTTGTAGAGCTCTTCTGTGGCAAGGCAGAGGTAACAAAGGCTATGTGGGCAGCCTGGCCCCCAGAAAGTGTTCCGACTAGAATTGTGAAAACTTTGCAGAAGTCAACCAAGGCGGGATTTGTTGGCCATGGTATGGACCTGAACATGGATGAGAAACAGAGAACATTTGACTTTCTGCGCCCTGCAGGGTTTTTGCTTGGTGCTCAGTTGCTGCGAACATGTAGTAAACATTTGCGCTTATAAATATCAGCTGATTCAGGTTGGCTATGAATGCTATACGCCAGTGCAAGGAAGGATCGCTGATAGTGATAGCTTTGGCGTGCAACTCTTTTTGCATGCCGTACCTTGTTTGCATGTCCAGGTAGTTTTTTGCAGGTGGTTTTATGCAGACTTGCAATGTGTAATGTCTGCGCCCAGGGCTTCAAGCAGCCATGAGAGGAGTGTACTATTCCCAGCCGGGAATGCTTCCAGACCATTTGTCAGAGATGGAAACTTGATGGCTGCCCGTGTTGCTTTTCTTCTGTACTATATAGTTGGGCGTGGGCATAGATTCCTGTTGGAGCAGCCAATGGGCAGCAAAGCAGAGTTGTTTCCGGCCTTGGCAACGTTCTTCGAACAATTCAAGGCCTGGTGAGTCAGTTTTCAGTCAATTAGATGTGTGTGTGTTCCTGGATGCTGGTGAGGTATTTTGCACTTCAATATGGGGAGGTCTCTATTGCACGTTCCCCGATGAGGCAAGACCAAAGAGGCATGTGCTATACAGCAATGATGAGCGCTTACTTTTGTACTTGGAGACTGCAGCCGGCCATGCAACAGGGCAACAGTTGCAAATGATGCAAGGTGAACCTTTAACAAAGAAAACCAAGGGCCCTGATGGGAAGCCAGGGTTCCAAGGGAATGGGCAAGCCATGAAACTTTCTCAGTACTTTGGTTGCAGAACAGGGCCATCATGAACCCATGCTGTGAGTGTGATAGCTGAACTGACTCAGGCACTACTGGCCTTTATTTGGATACCATTTGGCTCAGATGAGGCGGCAAATGCTTAGCGGTGAGTGGGAGGACTGTTTGTTGTTTGTTGCAGGTGCTTTGTTGGTGGCTGTAGCTGCGCAGGACTTCCCGGGAGGCCCCAAGGAGCCATGTGATGTCGATTTCAAACAATCTGACTTGGAGCTCTTCAAGGCCTGGCCATGTTGTTGTAAACTTGAATGGCTGACACACATGTCAAGGCAATTTCGTTTGATGGAATTGATTGCTGGAAGAGCGTCAGGGCCTCAGTTCATGATTTCATGTAGTCATATCATGTCATGGGTTCTTACATGTGAATGGTTTTACATGCGCATGAAATCCCATGAAATCATGTTCTATGTAGCCACATGTGTTGACATGTCCATGTAATCATGTCCATGTAATCATGTCCATGTAATCATGTAATCATGGGGGGGCATTGTTTGGTGTTTGCTTGGTCATGACTTGTTCTTCAAACAAAGTCAGGCAAAAATCATGGAGGCGATCAACTATATCACATCGACATCAAAATTCCGACCACCTGAGAGATGAGAGATTCCTTTGCAGCGTGCTTTGAAAGCGGTGGCACACCAGTGAGTTTAAGGGAGTGGATGTGCAAAAAAGGAGCTCATCAGAGATCAGTGAGGTGCAACAATTTGACCCGGGATCAATCCGGGATATCGTGTGGTTCACCCCCCCTTATAGTAAGGATAGACCCGGGATCGATCTCACATGGACATGGGACTTTCCAAACATGGCTCTGTAAGTGTTTTTGGGCCCTTGAAGCAGTGAAGTGGTGTGTGCTGTCTGTTGTCGTACCATGGCTGCTGAAGAAAACATGGACATTGTCACCCAGTGTGTGGAAGAGTTGACAACCAAGAAGGGGCGCTTGCCTACCTTCAAGCAACTGGCTGAAGCCACTGGGTTTCCTGAGGAGGAATGCAAAGAGTTCATGATAGAGTACCGTCAGATGGTGAAAGAGAAGCAGAAGAAGCAGAAGGTGGCGCCCAAGGAAAAGGCCGCTAGTGCTGCTCCATCTGAGCCTCCTGTGGCCCTCGGCGATGGTAAGTCTGATGTGGAGGTCGAGCAGGAGCAGGAGATCCCTCCAGCCCAAGCTACTATCGACCTTGATGCTGAAGAGGCCTTGCGAGATGGACAGGGCACCCAGCTTGATGGACAGGGCAGCCAGTCTCAGGTGCTGATGACTGTCGAGTCCATCTCTCCTGAAAAGCCAGACAACCAACTTGGTCTGCCTGATGAATCACAGGAGCTGAAAGACCTTGCGCTAGCGCCTGCTGAGGTCACCCCCATTACTGCCAAGCGGAAGTTGTTCGATGCTGGCTCGAATGCCAACAAGTCGCCACGTTTTGCAGAGGCCTGATGAGAAAAATACATTGTAGCAGGCTGCTTTTGTGGCTTTTCTTTTGAGAAAATTACATTGTAGCAGGCTGCTTTTATGGCTTTGTTTTGGTAGGCTTTGCCATCTGTTCCTCCTTTGCAGCGTGGTCTGTCTGAGAGGCTTGGCTCTTAAGTTGCAATTGATCCAATAGATGCGTTAAGAAGGCACATGTACTATATTCTATGAATATGTGACAGGTCTTTGGCGACGTTGCTTCGTGGTCAGCAGCTCCTACGAGATGCAAATCCGAACCATGAGCTTGATGATCTGACTCCAAAGGCTTTGGAGCAATTGGCCCAGCAGAACCGAGCTTAGCCTGTCAGCTTCTGCAAACTGATCAGCCCTATTTTTGAGAATGTTTGATTCTCTTCTGTCATGTCAGGATGCGTCGTGAGCATGTGTCTGATGCTGCTGAAGCGCCTGCACCAGAGGACATTGACCTGGAGCACAAGGAGCACTATGGTGGGCCAGAGCTAGCTGTTGAAGAACTCGATGGGGACAAGGTCATCTACAACAGTAAGTTCTTCAAGAAGGAGTACAACAAACTGAAGAGGATTGCAGAAGGACCGAGATCTGTGGAATTTCCACAGATTACAAAAGCTTTCACTGGAACTTCTGCGGAACAACATGATGTGATCCGTCGGTTTGTGGAGACTGGGGGAAATGAAAATGCAGTGGAAGCAGAGTTCACTGCTGAACGCACACATGAAGTGGAAGGGAGAGGTGAACGCAAACTCATGACAGTGAAGGAAATGCGTGAGGCTGGCTTCTCAGAGGCCAAAATCAATGCGTGTGTGCAGAAAGGTGGTGTGCCAGATGAAGACTGTCCTACGGACATGGCCTCTATGAGGTTCTGGGCGCATACCGTGAAGACCGAAACCACTCGAGATGTGACCCAGCTGAGGAGCACAGTTCGGGCCAGTGTTGCTGCTACCTCAGCAGTCCAAGCTTTGGCCACAGGTTTTGCACCTGCCAAGGGTGGCGTTGCAGTGGACGCAGCCAATGTCATGGCACAAGCAGGTCCGCACCCTCAAGCCCAAGCCTCGGCGCAACAAGCTCTGCCTGCGCCAGCAACTGGAGGAGGCAAGTGGTTGCTTTTACTCTTTTTGTGAATTTGTTTTGTTGCATTGTTCTTTGTGAATTTGTTTGTGAAACATGTTCTGATGGCAGGTCGCCAGCGCCCGAAGGGGTCTGCCAAGCCCAAGCCTGCTCCTGGCAGCAAGGGCCCTTTGGGAATGCAGTTGGCAGGGAAAACTGTGCCACAGAAAATCACCATGGCGCGAACCTCGCATGCCTTCATTGTAGCTTTTGTTACATGCTGTTATGAATGTGTTTCCCCATAGTTGATCCAATGGTGTTTTTGCGTGCTCAAGGAAATGAAGTCAAGAAGGAGATCCAAGCTTTGAACTCCTTGCAAATCGATGTTGGGGATTTGGACATGTTCAAGGGACGTGTTGAGCAGCTGAAGCAGTTCTCGAACTCCATGAAGTTGCACTTTGACAGGTGTGCCATGCACATGTCCAATGTTGATTCATGTGTTTCTGGCTCCGCTGGCCAGTTTGACAGAAGATTCCATCAAGAGCGAAGATGATTTTCAGAAGACCTTGGCTGGTATTACCAAAACGGCTGGGACCTAAAGTGTGTTGTGTCAGATTATCTTTGTGATTTTGCTTTGCCATGAGGCAACAGACAGCCGCATGAAGCGAGCTGAGATGTCAGCTGCCTTCCGTGAGTACAAGAAGTATTGCTGGCATATTTTGGGCTCACATGAGAAATGGAATTTTGCTGATGATACTCTGTGTTGTGCCAGGGGGTACTCTTCGTGAGAGGGCTGCGCAGGGCTGAACGGATTTTGGCAGGGTGGGCATAAGACTAGAAGCCAAGTGCCCATGAAAGAATGGGTTCATGCATGTTCATGTGCAAGCTTTGCAAGCATGAGACTCATGACATGCAGAAAGCAGGAAAAAGTCCTTGCTGTCATGCCATGTCATGTCAGATTTTTTGAATTTGGTAGGTCATGTCATGTCATGATTTTAAATCTTTTGGATGTGCGCTATCCTTTCTCCTGGTCAGGTACGAACCCAGCAGCAGCCTTGAGACAAGCTCTGGATCAAAGGCAGGCTTGTTCACTGTCACTGGACTAATTCACAATTTAAATTTCTGCAGGCTGGCAGCAGAAGTAGGCCAAGGCTCAACTAGTCTGGCTTCAGCTGCCCGTCTTGGCCATGTCTATGACTCGGATGTGTTTCCGTGCCTTGGCGCCAGTGCAATATGTGTTGCACTCAGTTTGCTATGGACGCCTGCATTGGGTTAAGGAAAACAATGAGAAAGGATGAAAGAGTTCATCAAAAGCTGATGAGCACTGGCTTGGCTTTCCGTGATATTATTTCGTGGCACCAGTTACCCATTCAGAATGAAGATGGCCAGGTGGAAATCCGCAATTGGCCTATGATTCTGCCTCATCGAATGGTTTGTGGCTCATGTGTGATTCATTGTATGCTCTTGCACCAGTGATTGTTTGGTCGCTAAGGTTGAAACTTTGCTCAAGTGCGGGTACCGCGATGTATTGGGCTTTGCAGACCAAAACTATTGGGATGTTCTCTGTGAGCACTTTGACCACACAAGAGTGAACAACACAGATGATTGCATAGGGGTTCAAGTCTATGGAGACGAGGCAACTATTTTTGATGGTCTGAGCTACATGTGCATAGCATGGTCTTCAGAAAACTCACCATTTGCCAGTTTGAGTTCATGCTCGCGTTTTCTGATCTGTCTCTTGCCACTGCCATTGTACTTGATGAGTCCGGCTCCAAATCACCGAAAAGGTAAGATCAATGAGACGCTCCAGGCAGCTCTTCGTTGCATTGTGGAATCTCTTGACAGTTGGTCTTCCACACCCATTTGTGGATTGCGTGGTGAATTTGTGGCTTTGAAGGGTGATTGGAAATGGTTGACGCATGCGCTGAATTTGAGATGTCACGCTGGCACTGACCAAATTTGTTGGCAGTGCCCTGCCAGCAAAAGCATCCAATTTGCTTATACGGACCTTTCTGCTGGTGCTGCATGGCGGCGGTCAAGACATGACCCATCAGAAGTACATTTCCGCAAGCCATCGATTGCGGAACTTGGTCATTTTAACATGAAAAAGGTTAGCATTGATTGGATGCATTGTTTTCACTTAGGACTTGCTCGTGATGTTGTGGCAAGTGTCCTTGTTGTGATGCTGAGAACCCGGGGAATCTTTGTTGGTGGCAATGTCAGTCTGTCATGTTTGAACAGTTTCTTTTTTTGGGAAGATGTGAACATTTGGTATTACGGTGTATATGTTCTTTTTTGGCCAGGTGGAAGCCAGAATGAGACACGCCTCAGTGCTCATCAAGACATGGGCCAAGAACCATGGAACCAGAAGGTTTCCAAACCGATGGCAAATATCAAAGACTAAACTCAGTCTGAAAAGCAGCAAATACGTGCACTTCACAGGCAAGGCATGGCAAAGTGGACTCATCATGGAATTTTTGGATTGGTTTTTGCAAACACATGACCTTCCGCAAGTTGATGCAAACATCAAGACATGTGTGTGGGCAGCCAACAACATTGCTGGATTGATTGCGTGCAGTGGTGTGATGTTCACTGAAGACCAAGTGAAGCAGTTGTTTGTGGTTGGCAATTTGTTTCTGACCACGTATTTGCGATTGCATGAGAAATTTCGATCCTTTTGCTGCTACCGCCTGTGGAACCCTCGGCCAAAGTTCCACTTAATCGCCCATGTGGTCGACCAAGGGCGTCGCAAGAAAAATCCAAGGACCACGTGGTGTTTCATGGATGAAGATTGGATCAAGTCCATTATGAGGCTTGCCAAGAAGACACATGCAAGAACAACGCATGTGGCGGTGCTGACTAGGTACACGGCAGGACTGATTGTTTCAGTGTATTGTTTTGTTGAAATTTCATGGCTGTGTTGGTTTGCATGGGAGGATTAAAAGCATCATTACAGGACCTGCGTCTGGGCCTTAGTTTTTCCTGTTGCACAACATGTACCTTAAAAAACAGAACATGCGCAAAAACATGTGAACCACGTTAAACAAACAAACAAACAAGCAAACACATGGAGACGCATGCAAAGCATGTTCAAACAAAATCCATGCAACATGTAACATGAGACATGTTCAACAAAATGTGACATGTTCAACAAAATGACATGTTAAGCTAACACAACATATGCTAGACATACATGACATGTGAAACAAACATGAAACATGTTCAACAAGTTTTTTAAACACAAGCATGTAAACCACGCCACACGTTCAACAAAATGTGTGTGTTCTTTGCCCGGGCCTCAGAGAGTTGCGTCGTGTCAATTTGTGAACTTTTGTTGCTTGAGGTGACAAGGTTGAGCGTGCCAGGTGTACATAGATGATGTGCTTGCATTCGGAGAGAAAAGGGATGCTTTGTGATGCTCTGGACCAATTTTTGGAAATGTGTGTTTCAACTTTGTTGAAAACTGATGAAAATTGTCTGGGGGGATCTTGGGGGTAGGGGCTATCTGCTTGATATGGCTCTATCGTGGGTTTTTCCTTATGATATGCCCCTCTGGGATTGAGGATGTAGTGAAATCCACGGCTGGCGTCATGGCCAAGCCCGTTAGCATCGTTCGCTATGACATGTCAAGTTTTCTTGAGTCGTGTGTGGAAGCGTACTGTGAGCTAGCGAAAGTGGATGTTTCCTCATTGAAGCCAGCCCCGACACCGTTCACGGATGCAGGTATTGCCAGGCCGACGTTGAGTGAGTCCGAACCGAATGGTCGACTTCAACCTATTGCCAGTAAGGTTCTTATGAAAATCCTTTTTGCGGCTAGAATGGCTAGGTTTGACCTACTCCGTGCAACTCAGAGTTTGGCCTCCCGGGTCACGAAATAGTCGACGGAATGCGACGTCGCGCTCCACAGGTTGGTGGCGTACATCCACCATACCAAAGACAGATTCTTGGACGCCTTCATCGGCGATCCCTTGTCCGAACGCCAGATTTGGCTGTTCGCTGACGCGGACTGGGCAGGGGATGAAGAGGCCAAGAGTACCTCCGGGTGCACCACTGTCATTGTGGGTCCAAACACGTATTTCCCAATCAACTCATTTTCAAATAAACAAACAGTGATTTCCACCAGCTCCACCGAAGCTGAGGTGGTCGCTGCCAATCAAGCTTTTAGAGCAGAGGGTCTTCCTGTGTTAGCGCTATTTGAGAAACTAGCCTATGGCAAAGTAGCTACGAAACTTGCCCCAAATATGCTGATGAAGAAGTGTTCACTCGCATTGACCCCGAAATCAACGAAATTCGGAACGGCAATGTCGATTCTGGACTGGATGTCTCGAACATTCAGGGTTTGAAGGTCCATTTTCCAGACTTTTGCCAAGTCAAGTTCATGGAGGACAATCAGGCGACCATCACAATCTTGAAGTCTGGGAACTCGTCATCCATGAAGCACGTGAACAGAACGCAAAACGTAAGTTTCAAATGGCTAAAGCAACAGTTCGAACGGGAGCAGTTCGATTTGGTGAATGTAGGAACCCTCTACCAAACAGCAGACATCCTCACAAAGGCGTTCACCAACGCTGCCAAGTGGGAACACGCCCTTAGGCTGATCGGCATTGGGCAAAAGCTTGCTGACAGCCCGGTGCAGGCCGGAGCCCCAACGAGAACGGTGGTTTCCAAAGTCTTGCAGCAGGGGGGTGTTGCACATGCGAACACACATGATAGGTTGCTTATTGAGTTCTGTTGTTCTGCTGATTCTAAGCTCGGGCAAATGCGCAGCGAATCGAAAGGATGTAAAGTCCTCCGCGTCACAATCAACGAAGATGCAACAACAAGCAAGTGTATGAGGTGGCTTGACAAAGAAATCAACACCTTCAAACAACAGCACCCAAAAGCAAAGGTTCTGCTGTACGGCAGTTTGCCCTGCACAGGCGGGAGCCCATGGGGAAACGTTAACAAGCAAACTGAGGAAGGATTGGAACGCATCAAGGAGCAACAAAAGGAGTTCACCAAACTCTTCAAGAGCTTCGCCAAGCTCGTGCGTGACCACCTTGACTCAAGAACGTTTGTTGCTTTTGAGCTTTCCCGTCGCTGTCGCTATTGGCATTGGCCGTCGGTGTTGGCTTTCATCAAACGCCACGACTTGCAAAGATATAACTTCGATGGATGCATGTTTGGTGTGCGCGATAATCACGGTAATCTTATGCGTAAGAGTTGGCATATATGCACAAATCTTCATGAGCTTGCATGTCTTGAGCAATACATGTGCACACATGATCACACTCATGGGCAAAGCAGAGGCAAGTCATTGAAGAGTGCTGAAGGTTACACGTTTGAGTACACTGATCTTGTTCACCGCTGCTTCAAGCATAGCAGCTCAAGTCATTCTGCCGCCGTCGCGCAGCGCGCCCTGCCAGCGATCATTGTTGATCACACCATGTCGGCTGACCAAGACATGCGCAGGGAAACCTTGGACATCTTCGAGTCGCACTTTCGGCAGATTGTGGCCTCTGGCTACTATCTCGAAGACGGATATTCTGAGGATGTGGACGCGGTGCTGAATGGCGTCCTTGGCCAGCACACAGCACATTCCGTGCTGGCGGGCCTGGTCGAGAAGAACCGATGGCTAGAGCCGGAGTTGGGCCCGTTGATTCGGACCTCACGGTATGATCTAGCCGCCTTCACAGGTGTGCCCACGAGCCAAGACTACCAAACGGTACACATCTTGATCTCTGATTCCACCTTGTGCTTGGTTAGCGGTTCGAAACGCAAACCCCAGAGGTTCGATCTGGCCGATCAC